ACTTGAAGGTAGAGATCTGGGAGACTGACACGATAAGACATCTTACCTTCTGTGGCCTTTCTCAGATGTCCCAGGATCTCTCAGTAGCAGCAGTCTCAGGATGAGCAACCTCCTGGCTGGCTTGCCAACTGTCAGGGAGGGAGAAATTTATGCCTCTATGCCTCTTGGGTTCCTGTGATTGGACTAAGAAGAAAATTGACACAGACAGATTAACAGGAAAAGGAGAAACAAATTGTAATTCATGTGCACGAGGGTGTCCTAGAAATGGGACCTAAAGAAGTGGCCAAAGCAGGCAGCTTTTATATGTTTTAGACCTAGAAACAATACATTTTCGAGGAATGGACAGGACAAATGAACATAGGTTTTGAGTGTTCAATTCATGAAGAATCTAAACAGAATTTGAGCTTGGGGTAGTAAATTAAAGACATTTCTGTATACAGACTTCTCTGACTGAATTCTCTATTTTTGGCTATAAGGGTGTTCTTCTACCTCCATATTGACAGAGTTATTTCCTGTTTTCAGGGAGACAGAAAAGAGGGTCAGAATATCACTCCTGCAATGGCCTTTTCTTAAGTAACCTGAATACAAGGTAATCAGTATGTCACTGTGGCATATTTTGGGGCAATCTGCATTGAGACCCAACAGGTGAGATGCACAAGAGCCATTCTGTTGACACTTTCTGCCTTGAATTGGTAGAGCCAGATCCCAATGCACTAAAAGAGCATTTTCATTGGGTTATCTTGGGTAATTTGGCAAATTCTAAGACAGGGCTAGATTTTGGTGGGAAAGAAACAAATAAAAATAGACACGATTTAGATAGAAGGGAAACTGGAAAGGACTAAAAGAGTCGGTACATGACAAAATTCCAGGAACTTTGAGTTGCTTCCAGGTGGAAAAATGAAAAACCTCCACACCAAAATTAAATAATAAATGCTCTAACACGGAAAAGATACTTAATTTTACTTGCTAAAGCAAAATTTTGGTATTGTTCTGTCTGAGAGTGCTGCACTTCCCCTGACATATGCTGGATTTAAGAAAACATTCCTACATAGGAGGGTGATATTGTCTAGGTAAAAATATTAACTGCCATTCATGAAACACCCAATATTTGCCAGGATTCTGATGGGTGCTTTATACACAATACATACTTTCCAACAGTCATACAAGGTAGGGTTTATCAGATTCATTTGGCAGATGAAGAACTTGCAATGTTCTCATATTCACAAGGTGGTAAGTAACAGAGCTAGACTAGATTCCTGGTCTGAATTTCTCGAGGGCACACTCTTTTCTACCACTCCCGCCCTGAAGCTGACCTTGCGTGTTTTTACTCACTTTTCTTCTCTCTATTCTGGACTGTATCTCAGGTGATTGAAGGAACAATAAAAATAAAAAGCAGTGTGTGCCCAAAGTACTGGATTGAAATACATAGCCAGGGCAATAAGAAAACCAAAATAAGTGAGTGGTATAAATAATGAAAAGAAGGTTACTACCTGGTAACAATATGATCATTTACATGTGCAGTGTCAGTTAACCGTGAAAGATGGGGGTCTCACGAAATTATCAGGCTCAGCCCATTTCTGTAGTATGCAAGTCTCATAGAACAGAAGTTGTATTGGAAGCCAAGTCTGGGTGGTACAGAGAAGAAATAAATCAGCATGATTTTTGCTTTTTTCTCTGAAAGCTCAACTCCTATCTAAGTCCTCTCTACCTGGCACTTCAGCTTTCCTATCTTACATCATTCATGAGACACAGACCCATTGCCCTTAAGACTCACAGTGGAGACAGTACTTAAGAGTTTGCATGGATGTGGCATTTACAAGGAAGCCATTCATTAAAGAGACAGGAGCTGAAACCAGACTCGGGTGTAGGACTACTGAGGAGAACACCCCCCGATCATTTAGAGAGTCCTGTAGGGACAACCCCGTACCGAGTCTTAGACCTGTGCCATCAGGCAGCTTCCTGCAAGGAAGGTCTCACGTAGGTGAGGACCTGGTTGAAAGGAGTGTAATTGAGAAGCTGATGTGAAACTGAGGGTGTCCTCCACTCCAGAACAGAGGGGGCGCCAGAGATCGAGGCGCTATCTATGGTGAGGCGCTCACTTCCTCCTAGGTCGTAGCTAGCGCTCACTTCCTGTTAGACGGCGAAGGACGAAGAGCGAGTGCCTCCGGCGGTGGCACAAGGCCTCAGGCCTGTGAGCGTTTCCAGGCTCCAGCAGGAACCGAGTCAAGGTGAGGAGCCCGAATAATGAATGGGAGACCCCCCACCAACCCCCCAACCTCCCCTGCCCCGCGCCGCCCGACGCCCCCCACGCCGTGCCTCACCCCCCACCTCGTGCCTCGCCCCCCCCCCGTGCCTCGCTCCCCACTCTGTGCCTTGCCCCGCCCCCTCCATGCCTCGGCCCCCCTTTCCGTGCCTCACAGGCCCCCTCCGTGCCTCACCCCGCCCCCTCTGTGCCTCGACCCCCCCCCCCACCTCCGTGCCTCACCCTCCCTCCCCGGTGCTTTCCACTCACAAAGCCCCGACGCTCTCGTGGAGGAAGATAACCCCTCAGAGGCTCTTTGGGAGGTGAGGACCTTGGTTGAAGTGGGTGGCCCCAGTTCAGAGGGGGAGGAAGACCCTAATAAGGGTCTGAGTGAGGAAACTCAGATAGAAAGTCCGAACAAGGCCCTGCTTGTTGTTCTCAGAGGACCCAAACATGGCGGCAGGTAGAGGCGAGCCTTCCTTTTCTATATGATAGATTAGGAACTAGACCACCTTGCCCTGAAGGAATTTGAGGACGGAACTCTGAGTGAGGTCTGAGAGGACCTCAACCCCAGAACAGTGAAGTGGCACGGGACTTGTGGTTCCATCAAGCGTGGGAAGACCCGGACAGGGCAATCAGGCAGACTACTTTGAGGAGGGTTTCTGAGATTGTGAGGGTGTTGGTTTTATAGGGGAGGGGCCTCAAGGTAGCAGACGAAAGCATTCTAGGGTGGCCAGGAGTTGGAATGAGGACCCTATGTGAGGACAGAGGGAATTCCTGCCCTGCTGGCAGCCTGGCGTGTCTTTGCAACTGGTGATGTGATGACGGACACTCCTTTTCTCCTACGGTATCGCGAGGATGGAATGGTGAAGGGAGAGGGGGCCGGGGGCGAGGCAGGAAGGCAGCACCTGGGGCAGGTGAAAGATTTTGTTTATAAGGGGTAGATTATTCCCCCACAGTAGAGGTATTTCCAGATCTTTCCAGGAGTTGTATGGGGGTACAAAAGAATCCATCCCCTATTCTCAACCGTAGAGACCATGGGGAAGTGGGGGGACCCTCATATGTTACTGGCTTGTTGGCTGGCAGGAAGACAGAAATCCCAGACCATGCAAAGGGTCAAAGGAAAGACTGAGAGGACTACCAATCATTGAATCAGTTCAGTTCAGTTGAGTGACTCAAGTCATGTCTCACTCTTTGTGACCCCATGGACTGCAGCATGCCAGGCTTCCCTGTCCAGCACCAACTCCCGGCACTTACTTAAACTCATGTCCATCGAATTGGTGATGCCATCCAACCATCTCATCATCTGTTGTCCCCTTTTCCTCCCGCCTTCAATATTTCCCAGCATCAGGGTCTTTTGCAGTGAGTCAGTACTTCGCATAAGGTGCCCAAAGTATTCAGCCTCAGCATCAGTCCTTCCAATGAATATTCAGGACTGATTTCCTTTAGGTTTGACTCATTTAATCTCCTTGCAGTCTAAGGGACTCTCAAGAGTCTTCTCCAACATCACAGTTCAAAAGCGTCAATTCTTTGGCGCTCAGCTTTCTTTATAGTCCAACTCTCACATCCATACATGACTACTGGAAAAACCATAGCTTTGACTAGATGGACCTTTGTCAGCAAAGTAGTGTCTCTGCTTTTTAATATGCTGTCTAGGTTGGTCATAGCTTTTCTTCCAAGGAGCAAGTGTCTTTTAATTTCACGGCTGCAGTCACCATCTGCAGTGATTTTGGAGCCCAAGAAAATAAAGTCTCTCCCTGTTTCCGTTGTTTCCCCATCTATTTGCCATGAAATGATGGGACTGGATGCCATGATCTTAGTTTTTTTAAATGTGGAGTTGTAAGCCAACTTTTTCACTCTCCTCTTTTACCAAGAGGCTCTTTAGTTCTTCTTCACTTTCTGCCATAAGGGTGGTGTCATCTACATATCTGAGGTTATTGATAGTTCTCACAGCAATCTTGATTCCAGGTTGTGTTTCATCCAGCCTGGCATTTCATATAAGTTAAATAAGCAGAGTGACAGTAGATCACAGAAAATCTCGGCCCCACGTTTTTCATTCCGAACTTGCAGGCTCAGGGCGGGACTGTCAGGCTGAGGCTGACAATCCACATCAAATCTGAGAGAGAAGAGTATGAGGTTAGTATGAAGTTGGAGCCACCGGTCAGCAGAGGGGAGGTATACCAGGTACCGCCTGGAGACTAGGTGAGCATCCTTAACGAGAACTGAGGACCCAAGCAGCCCCTGAAGGAGTGGGTCCCACGTAGCTCTCAGTTGGGTACCCTCTGACAGAGAGAAGGGCCAAGGAACCCCTCACTTCCTCCTCTGGGGTCTCAGGGAAGTGCTGACTTGGGTTTGAGGTGTCAGCTTCAAAGCATCAGAAAAGAGGAGGCTCAAGACCTGCCAACAATTGACTATATGACTATAATGACCCTGACTATAAACTGAGAATACCCTCAAACCCAGAACAGAGGCTCCTTACTGGCAGCCCCTGCTGTCACCCTAGTATACCCCTAGCAGGGTTGGCAGGCTACATTCTAAGGTTCTGATATCCTCCACAGTTTTCTCAGGGTACAGGCTGATCAAAACAGAAGCCTTGAGAGGTCCTAGATCAGTGTCCCCAAGGACCCTGCAGAGGTGGCCTTGATTAAAGCCAAGGTGGAATCTCCCTGCTGAGGTGCTTACAGCATCTTATTCTCCTTCCTCCAGGTGCCCACGTCTTCTGAGCTCCTGTCTACACTCCTTCCTGCTGTCCCTGACCATGCCTCGAAGGAAGAAGAGTAAGGCCCGTGGTGGTGATAAACCCCACGGTGATGAACAACCCCAAGGCAAGACCCAGAGTTGTGGGGGTGCTCAGGCCACAGCAGCAGCAGAAGAGGAGTCCACTACCTCCTCGCCTCAGTGTGAAGGTATTACCCAGAGTCTGCCTGGTGCTCAGTCACATAGCACTTCCCAGGAGCCTGAAAGAATACCGACCATCACCACTTCTGCAGTCTTTTCTTGCACTAGATCTAGTGAAGCATTCGATGGCCAATATGAGCATAGGGTGTTGGTCTATGAGGTCCCACCCTTCACTGAGCCCCCAGGAACTGACTGTTTAACCAGGAAAGCTAGCTTGTTGGAGCAGTACATTCTGCACAGGTATAAAATGAAGCAGCTCATCATGAAGGAAGACATACTGAAGATTATCCACCACAGCCACCATGACCGATTTGCTGAGATTCTCAAGAGAGCCTCTGAACGCATTGAGCTCATCTTTGCGATGGATCTGAAGGAAGTCGACTCAGTCGTTCCCTGCTATAATCTGATCAGCAAATTGAAACTCCCCAACAATGGGAGGGTGCGTGGTGGAAGGGGGTTACCCAAGACCGGTCTCCTGATGAATCTCCTGGCTATGATCTTCATGAAGGGCAACTGTGCTGCTGAGGAAGACATCTGGAAATCCCTGGGTACGATGCAAGTATATGCTGGAAGAAGGCACTTCATCTTTGGAGAGCCCAGAAAGCTCATCACCAAAGATTTAGTGAGGCTGAAGTACCTGGAGTACCGCCAGGTTGCCAACAGTGATCCTCCACGTTATGAGTTTCTCTGGGGCCCAAAAGCACATCTGGAAACCAGCAAGATGAAAGTCCTGGAATTTTTGGCAAAGGTCAATAATGCTGTTCCCACCGACTTCCCCACTTATTATGAAGAAGCTTTGCGAGATGAAGAGAAAGCCCAAGGTGTGGATGCAGCCAAGCCTGACACTACTATCAAAGTCAATACACCTCCCAGGGACACGCTCAATATTGTCTTCCCACCCATAGTGAAGCATGTGCTTTTTCCCCCCCAGACATGAAAATATAACATTACAATAGGGATTATATTCTTGGAAATGTGAAAGAATCCCATCGTAAAATAGTTAGGATGATGGAGTAGAAAAAAAGTAAAACATGATCAATGTTAGTTTTTCTTGTTCCTTTTAGTCTTTAGCTTTGTTATAGTACTTATTCTATACTCTGAGTTTCTTAGCTTCTTCAAGAAAGTAAGAGAAATTAAATGTTAATAAAGTAGACCTTGTGTTTATTGGCTCTTTTATTCGTCAAACGTTGAGAATCTGCTCTTGGGAAGGCTCAGTGCTAGTACTGGGGATGCTAATATAAAGAATATCCAGCCTCTACTCACAGAATTTTAGAGCTTATGAGTTACACTCATATGAGTAAGATACTGAAATATTCTCTGTGACTTACAGGTAAAGTAAAAAGAATGGTTGAAGTGGAGGGTATTCCTTATGATGGCCCTCCCTGCCTGGCTGCTCAATCACTTAAGTCATGTGCGACCCCATGGATGATAGCCCACCATGCCCCTCTGTACATGGGAATTTTCCAGAAAGAATACTGGAGTGGGCTGCAATGCCCTCCTCCTGGAATCTTCCCAACCCAGGGATTGAACCCATGTCTCCTGTGCCTCCTGCATTGCAGGAGGATTCTTTGCCACTGGGTGATGGCAGTTAAGTGTAAAGTTCCTGAGTAAGGCAGTTTGGGACTTGAGGAAACTATGAGTCCTCAGTGGAGTGTAGTTTTCATTTCTGTTGTGCGGTGGGCTAGTTGAGGTCCTGAAGTGGTGAGTAGAGGCCAAACCTTCCAACAGTTGATAGAAAAAACCCTGTATTAGTCTTCTCAGGCTGCTGTAACAATACCATAGATAAACAACAGACATTTCTTTTTCACAGTTACAGAAGTTGGGAAGTTCACAATCAATGTGCCAGTGGATTCTGTTCCCGATGAGAGCTCTCTTTCTGGCCGCCACCTCTCTGTCCTCACATGATGGAGAGAGAGAATTCTGGTCTCTCTTGCTCTTCTTCTAAGATAACTAATTGCATCATGGGTGCCCCATCCTCATGACCTCATCTAAACCTAATTATCTCCCTAAACTTTCACCTTCAAATACAATTGCATGGACATGGTGGGAAGGAGAAAACGGTTAGGGCTTCAACACATGAATTTTGTCAGGGACACGAACATCTAGTCTATAGTGGAAAACTGCTGCTACAAATTATTTTGGGATGTGGATAAACTAGAAAAATCTCTACCAGGGGCAGGAATGGAAGGTGTCCTTTGCTCTTGTTCTAGTGCAGATGAACACAGTGTGCAAACTAGGTGTTCTATGCACATCATTTCCAGGGAGTTTCTGAAAAATAATGGAGATGATCCCCTTAGGTGAGATGCCAAGAAGCTACTGTGCTGGCACTGTTTGCCCCAAACTGGGAGAGCCAGTGTCTGATCCATTATAAAGGCATTTTAACTAGGTTATCTTAAGTAGAGTTTGGCAAACTCTTGAAGGATAGCTTTTTTATGAGAGTGTAATGAATGTAAACAGAGCTGATTTGGATGCAAGGGCACCTGGAAGGGATGGCAGGGTTAATCTCCTAGATAGATGACATCTAGGAGCTTGAGCTGTACCCAGCTAGGGACAACAACTCCATACCTAAAGCAAATGATAAATGCTCAAATGGGTAAAGTTAGTTTTGCCAGCTAGAGAGACTTTTTGGTTGATTCAGTATTCTTTAAAATATTACATATTCTTTGAAACTTCCTGAATTAAAAAAAAAAAAAATTCCAAGGGAGGTAAATGGTATCATCTGAGATCAAAATATTAATTACTGCTATTCTTTAAATATTGGGTGACATTTGCTGGTCCTCTTGCCATGTGATTTATATATGGTACATGCATTTCAACCATCTTACAAGGTAGGGCTTACCAAACTCAGCAGGTGAAGAACTCAAAGTTTTCTTAAGTTCACAAGACTGGTTATTAGAGCTGGGAATAGACTCCTCATCTGAACTTGTCTACAGGCCATAGTGTTTCACTCCTCCCAGCCTGGGGCAGACCTGTCTCTTAATTCACTTTTCTTTGCACTATGTATCTCAAATAATAAAAAGGCACTTGAAGTTAAAGTGCTAAAGTCAAGTCTACTGAAGGGGAGAGTGAATATATGAGAAGAGATCAGTATGTGGGAACTGTCCCTGGGTTTCATCTTCCTAGGATCCGACCGAGAGCTAACTCTGTCCGGAAACTAGTATTTTGTTCAGCTCCAGTTCTTTCCAGCATTACAGCATCCTCTCCTCTCCTGACCCCAGACTTCCCCAGTGTGTCCTCCTTCCAGCTCTGGAACCTGACCTCCTGCTGACCAGCTCTTCTCTGCAGCCTCTTCTGAGGGCTACCCTCTGCTCTCAGTGGAGTTGACAGTCGATATCTTCTGCTGCCCTGCCCCCGACCCCCCCCCACCCCCACCCCACCCCCACCCACCTTAGAGCATCTCAAATCCCTGGATGTCACTTCCTTTATCATGGATGTATACCATCTTTATTTTCCTATTTATGTGGTACTTTGGAGATCTTTATTTCTCTAATTGTCTCTCTGTATCACTGTGTCTGTCTTTGTCTCTCTCTTTTCATTATTTTTCAAATATTGACTCTTTTAATAGACGGTTTAAATAGCTTCTGAGTACATTTATGAATCACCTGTTTATACATTTATTGCTGTGTGTCAAGTTTGCAAATAGGAATTTTTATATTTTATGAATCAAAGTGGGACATCTTCATTCTTATTTTTTGATTCAGAATGGGTAACATGACATTGGAATAGGTGTTACTTTAGAAAAGTAAAGTAAGTCAGTAGAAAAATTGTTGGGATCAAGAAATAGAGCAAAATAAAGTAAAAGACTGTCACTTCCTATCTTCCTTATCTTTAGTCTGTTGTACAGTAAAAATTAAATGACACATACCTGCATTTGTTTGGCTTAGCTAAGAATTTAGGAGAAATTAAATCTTAATAAATTAGATAACATGCTCCCTGGCTCATTTATTCCCTTAACACTGATTGGGCATCTGCTCTTTGGAATACACTGTGTTATTTCTGGGTGCTAGGATCTGTGTGTCTAACAGCCATAATCTTATAATGACGATGGTAAGATATTATGGTAAACCAGAGGGCAATTAAAGAGAGAGTGAGGGAGTTGAGGTCTAGATAAATGCAATGAAGTGGAAGTTAAGTTTAAATGCTCCAAGCTATGTCCACTTGGGAAACTGCAAGCTCTTCAGACTAAGGTTTAAGTTTAGTTATGTCGTGGGGAGTTTAGTGGGAGTGAGGAACAAAGGCCAGATCTTTGCATGATGTATCTCAGAATTGAGAGACTTAAGCTTGGAGCACAATGACACCTTTATCACTGGATATAATGATGCCTTTATCATTATGTAATTCCCTTCTTAATCCCTGATACCTTTCTGTGCTCTGAACTCTGCTCTGTCTGTAATTAGTACAGCCACTCCCACTTTATTTTGATTAATGTTACCAAGGTATTTTCCTCTCTGTTCCTTTACTTTAACCTGTGTGTCTTTGTATTTAAAGTGGGTTTCTTTCTTTAAATAACATATTGTTGGGGTTAGGTTTCTGGTCCACACTGATAATCTCTGCCTTTTAACTGGTGATTTTAGACTGTTGATATGCAAAGTAATTATTGATGTGATTGGATTAATATCTACCATATTTGTTACTGTTTTCTATTTGTGGCCTTTTTTCCCCCTCTTGTTTTTGTTTTATACTCTTTTTGCTCTGTTTGTGGTTTTTAGGCTAATTAGCTTGATTGGGGGAATCATTTCACAATGTACATGTATATCAATATCACACTTCACACCTTAAATATATATAATGTTTATTGGTCATTCATATTAATACCTCAATAAAACTGGAAAAATTAGTTGAGCTTTTATGTGATTCCAATTTCTATACTTTAGCGTATCAATTATTTTTAAAAGTTTTTTTTCATTAGTGGCCCACCTTCATTATAATGTTTGTTATTTTTGTTGCATATCAGTAAAGTCTGTATCCAAAATTAACTGCCAGTAATAGATCATATTCAAGGGTGATATAAAATTCATCTTGAACACTTTCAAATATTTAATAAGAATAATCTTGATCTCTTTCTTTAAATATTTTCCAAAAATTATTCCTTTTGATTCTGGTTTGTATGATGTCATTAATCTATTAAGTATACAGGCCCAAGTACAATTGTGATTAATCTTTATATTTTTCATTCTGTGCCCTTTTATGGTTTGCAACCTCAAGTCTACTCATAAAATATTTTTCTTCACAACATACACTATGTATTTTGGCTTTATTCCCAAGAAAGTCTTCCCATCCAAGTGTCTCTTACCTTGTCACTGTCAGCCAGTTGTGGTCTCTGTAGACTCGGTTTTGTTTGACACAGTTCTACTTTTAGTTTAGGTTACTTTCTAAGACAAGTGTGAAGCGTACCTTCTGTTCTTTTACATTCTCCCTAATATAAATATTAAAATTGTTATATTCAAAATAAAAGGACAAAATTTGCTCTTATTTTATCAGCATCTTAAATCTTCTCAGTTTGATGAATTATTTGAAGCATAAACATCAATTATGTTTCTTGTCATAAAACTATTAAGAATGGTTGACTCTCACCAGCATTGATCAATGAATATTAGATTCTCAGAGGCCTCTGATTTCATGATCAGCACCTGTTTTGGGTTCTATAAGATTTCCCAGCATCAGGGTCTTTTCTAATGAGTCAGCTCTTCACATCAGGTGGCCAAAGTATTGGAGTTTCAGCTTCAGCATCAGTCCTTCCAATGAATATTCAAGGTTGATTTCCATTAGGATGGACTGGTTGGATCTCCTTGCAGTCTAAGGGACTATCAAGAGTCTTCTCCA